AAAAAGGGATAGAATCATCAAATAACATATACAATCAGACGATAGATTCTTTATTTTCAGCGCGATCAAAATTACTTAAGAAAAACACCCATCTTCAAGAATTACTGTCGAAGAAAGAGACGAGAGACGCTTCGCATAACGAAATAACAGATCTCTCCAATTTCCCGCCTCCACCTATGAACAATTCATCGCAAAAGCTACCAGGTTGGATCAGTAACAATTTAAGACCTCTCGTTTATGAGCTCGGTCTTGAAAATAAAGTTATAGAATTCGATAAAAGTTTTGCTAGGGAAAATGTATTAGAAGCTTTGCAAGAGCTATTACCCCGGGATGAGATGGTTTCGAAAAGCCAGACAGATACTCTATCCAATCAATCTGTTCATAGTCGACCAGCACATTCTGAAAAGCATATTTCGAGTGAAGGGGTTATAGAGCAATTAGGTAGCGCAGAAGCGATATCGTTACCAGCAACTGCTCCTATTATTGTGAGCTCCTTAATGTCACCGATATTAATATATATCATACTTACCTTACTAATTCTTGCAATTATATGGATTGTTGGGAAAAAAATATGGAATATATGGGATATGAATTTAAAAAATGACCGTTATTTCACACATGAAAAATATATTAATAGGCCGTTAGCTTTGCTAACTAATACCATATAAGTACTGGCGCAAGTGGGACTTCTTCGAATCTTTTTTCAATGTGAGCTAATACCTTTTCTGATAAATCTTTGGATGAATTTATTAAGATCTTTTCAGCGTAAGCTACTGTATATACTAATAACCATCCAATATGAATGGATTCACCTTCCTTACCATTATGCCCATATTGTTGTAAAAATTGATAGTCATCTATTATAATATCTGTCATTCCCTCCTGTTCTATTATTATTTTACAAAATATCTGTTTATCCTCTTCTGTGATTGGAAGACGAATTTTGTTAGGTTCGAAGCCTGTGTACTGAGAAATCTGGTCACGTAGTTCAGCCATTATACCAATAAAGCTTATCTTTAAAATATATAGATTTGTGAAAATACTAATGATTATCCCAAATCATCTCCAGGCATTTCTGAGGCCGGACTGTATGATCGGAGGCTGGAAGTTTGGAGTGATCATTCTAGGCCAGAAGTTCGAAGATAGGAATTGAAGTTAGCTGGTATTATTGCACAAGAAAAAATATGTAAATAATATTATGTGAAGCGACTTAACGACTAAGTACTTAGCTGAAATTGCCATACCTCACTAAGAGTATTCGGAAAGATTATTGTAAAGTTTTTATATATTTTTTAAGCTGTCTTACAGCCTCGTCCTGAAAGTATTTGTCGATCTTCTTTTCTTTCATATCTGGATCTTTGATTTGCATTATTTTATGTGATAGGTGTGGTTGATAGCTATCGTTTTTATTGATAAAGCGTGCGCATATTGCAACTGTTGTGTCTAAATAATAATTGATATCTATTTTCATGTTTTGCTCTTTTCCTATATTCGATGGATACTCCATATAATCCCCAACTCTATATGGTATAAACTTGCCTTTCTCATCACGAAGACGGGGACCCTTCATAACGATATAGCTAAACTGTTTACCAGGATCGGGAATCCTTTTATTTTTCTCTCTCATACGTTTCATAAAGCGATTATTGCAGAGATTTTTTTTCTTAGACCTCCATGTCCCTATCACAATAAATTTATTGAAATCCTATTTCTTGTTTCCTGCTTCTCTAAGAGTATCTTTAACAATTTTGTCAATTGTGCTCATATTATTTATATCCATAGCCTCTCTCATTATCTTCTCTCCAATGAATTTGAGAAGCTGGGATTTATCTTGCTTTACGATATCTATCCCTTTCATGAAAAGATTTTTCGGTTTAAAGTTTATTACATCTTCATGCCCAACCCCAAAGTACTTATTTTTACCAGTAAAGCAGATGGGAAATAATACCTCTTTATATGCCATTTTTAGATAAGACGTCTCACTTTTTATTTTAAGATAAGCGTTTACTTGATCATGCAACTTTTTCATCACATCCATAGTAATTTTGACCATTTCAGTCTAGTACGCTTCTTTGGAAAGTTTTTTTCTGGAGAAGGCTTCATCACATTTCTCGTAATACCTATCCGGGCAGGTAAGATACAAAGAATCAGTATTCCCATATTTTATCCAAACCCTTTCTTTGATACGAATTCGGTAACGAGATTAAGGTTATATTTTCCTGCTGTAGTAGTTCCACAGGCTAATTCACGAAGAAAGATTGGAGATTTTGAGTTACCTGCCTCCCCATAAAAAGTGTTCATATATACCTTTAAAGCTTTTTGCTTTGAATCCCAATAATCGTAATCGAAGCATACGGATGAATATTCTGAATTTAAGCTTTCTGAAACCCTTTTGCCTCTTTTTTTAGCTGAACTTATCATCTTCCCAAGATATTGCTTTTTCTTTCCTAGTGGAGCCAGACGTGCTTTAAGCTCCAGCCTCTTGTTAGATAAATCTCTAATACAACAGGATATAATCCTTTCCTCTCAGATTGATTTTCATGACGTACGCATCAAGCTTGAATGTCATGCTTATTGAATTTAAACTCAATCGTATGAAGCTCGTTTCCATTTTTACAGATATTATCAGCCTATTCTCAATCTAATATGATTTTTTCTGGGGAGAGGTTGTAGGCCATGATAATGCTAGAATATAAAAATGCAAAATCCAGACCTGTTACAGGTCTTTCTGTTATGATACCTTTTTTAGGTGGAAATACATATGCACCAGGATATTTCCCTTTTTCTATGTCTTTAGAAAGCCTTGTACTAATTACCATATCTCGTTTGATAGCACATGCGCTGGGAAGGTTCCGTACCTTCATTCCATTTGCACGATAATGTGTATCGAAAAGAGAAACATAAGCTATGGAGGCAACTTCTCTATAATCATTTATTATACTTTGGTTTACCAAAAGCTCTTGACAACACAGTGCGTCTATAATACAGTATTGTACCACTTCACGCATATTTCTCGCGGTTGACGAAGAGGGGCATTTTTTCACCTCTGAATAGATTTTTCACATTTTATCGTATAGCATATCAGCCTTACTGTCAAGACCGAATTTTTGTAGGAAAAATTTAAGTGAGCCTTCCTTTTCGACTTCAGAATGAGGAAAACGTTTTTTGAGGCATACTTGGACATCAATCGGTATGCAACCTGGTAGTTTAAGGAAGCTAGAAGTAAAATAATCTTCCACACTAATTTTGATCCTAATTGGACTGCCCATATATTCTTTCTCCTCCAGATCCTCTTCACCTTCCTCAGGAGCCTTAACAGGATGCTTTTTCACGAAATCATTTTCAGATTTTGCTCCTATCTTTTCACGGTATTTCCACTTTAGAATTTTTTCCTTTGTTTCGAACTTTCCTGTCATTCGCTTCCACATCCATTCGAGTATGTTGAGATGATATGCTCTTTCCATGATAAAACACCAATCATAGTCTGAATCGTTAAACCCAACATGGATATCAGGGCAAATGCTCGCCAGCAGAGAGCGAAAGCTTTTAGTAGATTTACTTGATTTTCATAAATGATTGTGATCTAGTGTGGGTCTGGTTCTATTTCAACATTGACAAGATATATTTGCTTTAGTGGTTTTGGATCATCTTTCCAATGCAATGTTATAGAAATCATAAAAGCATTATTATTCAGATCAAGGACTTCAGCAAATTCATCCAATTCTTATGATTGCGTCTCTATATCCCAAGTGAGAACAAGAGTACTATCTCGTAAGAGAGCTGAAATGGGAAATTGGTCACTTATTGTTGTAAGATCTTCCAGTGGACAGAAATCTTTTATAGATACGTAGAATTCGTGCAGACAAAGCGGGCTGGTCTCTTTGCCTTGCTTGTAAATATATTTGTTTATTGTAGACCATCCAGAGAGTTGAATACCATTCTCTCAGGCTACTTTACGGTGAAATGAGTATAAATCATCTGAAGCAGTTTCAAAGTTATTATCTTAAACAGCTTTAATAGCAGTTTTTCTACCACCAGTACTGTTTGTATAAATTCGCAAATATGACTTTTTTTCCGTATGATAGTCACGAAAAGGGAATGCCTTAATATACTTTACTGAAAATGTCTTTATACTACCAGATAAAATATCCTTATTTTTGTTTCGCATTCATTGGGAGATTCGTCATCTGGCACAAGAATGTTAAAGAATACCTGAATGTCTTTAAGAGTTACTAGTGCCTTTTGGCCAATAATAAGATGACCATAAAGACACAATACATAGCGGTACGTTCAATTTATCCTTTCTGTTAATCCTTCATTTTCAATGGCCATGAATGAAATATCTTGTCATTTAGATAAAGCATTCTTGAGTATTATAGTTAATCCCTCATCATTTCCCGCAACTATATCATTCAGTGTTGAAAAATCCAACAAGTTTTTTTCATCAGAATAGCGAATCTGATGGCCTTCCATTTTATCTTTTTCAGCCTCTGGGTGAAAAAGGGCGGGGGCGTCGAGGAACTCAGATTGTGTCATTTTTTCTCAAGCAATTTAAAATAATTTATAACTATACCAAAACTCAAGGTATATTATTCGCAAGAAAAAAGTTTAAAATGAAATTAATCCCCTGACATTATTAATTGAT